TCATCTATAATTATTACCTTCAACGTTACTATTTTAAATATATCCTTATTTCTTTTATTTTATTTTTAATTTTTTAATTTTTACGTTTTTATGTTTATAACGATTATCAAAGCAAAAAAATGGATAGAATTAAAAAGAGTGTAATATTAAATGTATTCGAACATTTTTCTTAAAAGGTGAGCTATGTAATTTTAAAAGATTTACATTAAATCTCAACCGTTAATAAGAATGAATTAAACAGTTATATTAAATAAAATAAAAAAATACATGTTCATTTCTTTTTTCTAAAAATTAGACTAATACTATAACCGTTTGATTTATTCATATTAACAGTTGAGATTTGATATAACACTTTTAGACTAACCCTTAATGTCAACGGTTTCTGACTTATAAATAAGTATTAACTTTTATGTATTTGATTTGGCTTTGAAAAATAAATTTAAAATCAAACTTAAACAATTTTTAAAAAATATATTTAAAGAATTTTCTAATAATACGCAATTTTTTATTTTATTATCTGTGGGCGGTTTTGATTTGAATACAAATTTATTAATTTTTTTCTTATAAAAAATTAGGACAATTTAAAAAAAATATATTTAAAGAATCTTTTAATAATACGCGATTTTTAATTTTATTATCAGTGGGCGGTTTTTATTTGAGTCGGTTTAAATACGAACATATTAATTTTTTCCTTGTATAGCTTACTTTAGTAATAAGGAATTTACATTATAGTAGAACTAACATGACATATGAGATGCTCTAAAACTAGTTTACGTGTTCTACACAAGCAACGTACTCTAACTCATTATTTAACATAAATAATAATTTTTTATTAATTATTTAACATAAATAATAGATTTTTATTAGAGCAACTTTAGTAAAGGGTTGTTAAACCAAAATTTTGTATAACTTACGTTAGTCATAAAAAATTTGCATTATAGTAGAACTGACATGACATATGAGATGCTCTAAAACTAGTTTATGTGCTGTCCTCTACACAAGCAACGTACTCTAACTCATTATTTAACATTAATAATAAATATTTTTATTAATTATTTAACATAAATAATAGATTTTTATTAGAGCAACTTTAGTGCATGATTGTTAAACCAAAATTTTGTATAGCTTACGTTAGTAATAAAGAATTTGCATTATAGTAGAACTGACAGGACATCTAAGTGAACTAAAATTTAGTTCTCATTATCTATATAGTAAACGTTAACTATGTGAAATATATTATAATATTATTTATTTAATTAATAAAATATTCCAACAACATTAAAATAATGGCATGATATTTGAAAATAGTGGGGTCAAGTTTTGATTTCTTATAGACAATCATCATTAAAGTAAAAACTACTCAAATCAACTATAAAATTTTTAAATCCTACAAAACACTTTGGACCCACAAAAAATATCTTAGTTTACCCATTTAGATTATTCCCATTAAAGATGCTACCAAATTTGAATTCCTTATAAACAATAACCATTGAAGTAAAAACTTTTTAATTCAATTTTGAATTGCTTAAATCCTTCGTGTCAATTTGCACCCACGTAAAATAACTTAGTTCATACAATTTAGTTGCTCCCATTAAAGATGCTTATGTTACGCAGTTTTCAATTTTATTATATGTGAGAGGTTTTGATTTGAATTGGTTTGAATATGAACAAGTTAATTATTATTATTTTTTTATGAAAATGTTTGAATTTTTTTTCTTCTTTTATTCGACCTAAAATTAATTTTTATTTTTATTTTTAATCTGTGATTTTTGTTTTATATTTCGTAATCTTTGAACTTTTTGTAATCTTTGTCATTTTTATTTTGATATGTCATAATTATTAATGATACGTTACTTTTACAAAATAAATTACATAATTTAATACTAATTTTCCATAATGAGATTTATAGAATTGAATAATATTTAATAATACGTGATTTTCAAATTTATTATCTGTGAACAGTTGTGATTTGAATAGGTTTGATTACGATTTTTTTTATTTATAAAAATATTCAAATTTAGTTTTTGTCCTTTTATTTTGATTAAAATTATTCTTATCTTTATTTTTAATCTTTGTTTTTTTTATATATTTTATAATCTTTGAATTTTTTAGTCCTTTTCAATTTTATTTGATATGTCATAACTACTAATAATAGGTTACTTTCACAAAATAAAATAAGTAGTTTAATAATATTAATTTAAAACGAAATTTAAAGAATATAATACTGATTATTAAGAGCATCTTTAGTGCAAGTTCAATAGTATTAAATTCTTTAATAATAACAGTAGTTATAAGCAATTAGTGCAGATTTAGTAGTATTAAATTCTTTAATAGTAATAGTAAAGTGAACTAATAATTAGTGGGAGTAAACTATATAACCAACGCACACTATCCATTATCAATAACTTTTATTATTATTTTATTATTGTTTTATATTATTAAAATATCAATAAAGCTCCAACAACTATAAAATGTGGGGTCAAGTTTTGATTTTTTATAAACAACCCTCGTTAAAGTAAAAACAACTCAAATCAACTATAAATATTTTAAATTCTACAAATCACTTTGGACCCATAAAAAATATCTTAGTTTATCCATTTAGTTTACTCCAATTAAAGATACTCTAATACGTGAATTTCAGTTTTATTATCTATAGGCGGTTTTGATTTGAATCGATGTGATTATGAATATTAGTTATTACTATTTTTTTAAAAAATGTCCAAATTTAGTTCTTGTCCTTTTATTTTTATCTTAATTTTTAATCCGTGATTTTTATTTTACTAAAAGTATAATATTTTAACATATTTATTTCTATAATTATTAATATTACAAAAGAGAAAATAAAATTATATTTTTAATTATAACTTTAATTGGAATATTTTAATAAAAAATTATTAATGTATATAGTATTTTTTAAATCGTGGGTTTATGGTTGAATATATTAATGAAAATAAGTTGTTAATATGTATAAACTAATTATTTAAAAAAATTATTTATATTTTATAAGTAAAAGCAAAATTATATCTCTCAATAATAAATAAAATATGAATAGTTTTTTAAAAAGTAATTGATATTTATAATATTTTATAAATTAATATTCTATAATTTTATTTCTGTCGTGGACAACAGTTCGGTTCAACAAAGATAATATTTATTTATATAAATATTATATATTAATTTAAACAAATTATTGATATTTATAAATAAAGTGAAAATCGTTTTCTTTTTCTTAATTAGTTTTTGCCATTCGAGCGAAACAAACACACGAGTACTCTAGAGTAACTCGTCACCGCGTCACTCAGCCACCAAACACCAAGAACAGAAACCTTCTGCTTTTAGAATCTTCCTCAGCTTTTGCCTCAGTCAACTTCTCAATCTCTCGGTATCTTTCTATTACCTTCAATTTCTCTATTTTCGTTCCCGAATTGCTTATTGTTATTGATAATGTTAGTGTCATTCACGATGACGATGGTGTTTGTACCTTGATTTTTTTCCCTGATTTTTTTGTTAGGTTGAATGTGCAATTTTAAATGCATGTAATGATTTTATTTTGTTTTCGTTTTTTTTTTTCTGTTAATTTTTGTTTTTTCATTGAGTTTTCTAAATTTGTGCGTGTGTGTGTTTTTTTTTTATTTTCTGTTATTTATACTTATTTTTTTGGTACTTTTTAGTGCATCTTTGTGTTAGTTTTGTTTTGGAGTTAGGAGGAAAAGAAGAGTGGGGAAGGGTTTGGGAAGAAAAGGAGGGATTTTTCTTACCTAAATAGGGTGAGTATTTGCGGTATATAGGGATGAGAAAAATTTAGACTAATAATTTAAAATTGAGCAATTGGTTCTTTTTACTTTCAAAAACTCTTGAGCTTTTATCTGTGTAGCGACGACATCTCGGGAAAAACCTCGGGAAAAAAGGTGTGCTGTGCATGTGGCCGACACTGATACATACACTTGTGGTTACGTTTAATTTATTCAGTTTTCCAAATTATTACTGATCTGGACGTGTTAGTGTCAGAGCCGTGTTTCTGGTTCCGAGCTTCATAGGTTTTTATTTTATAATTTGTGTTTGTCTTAAATTGATAATAATGATATAGAAAGCTAGAGTAGTGAACAATTGTGATAGAGGAAGATGAATTGTCTATGTTTTTGAAAACAACATTGCTATTTAGTACAATGATTATCTTCGTAAATTTACGAACCATGACGTGTTATCTTGAATGGATTGATCTTTTGGATTTTGTTGAATAAATGGTAGTGTTATCAAATTGCGGCGCCATGGCTGCTATGACGGATATACTTGTTGGTTTTTGGGATTGCCACAATAATAAATTTTGGCTGATATTGCGGGTTTCTCCACTATAACGGCGCCGCAAGGCAAAGATGTTGCATTTAAATAGTCTCTTGCAATAAACACATGTTGCTTTGAAAAGTCTCTTGCAACATCAAGGCAAAGATAGTGCATTTAAAATCATGCTACTAAATTCCGATAAATGACTAAATAGGTTGGCCTTTTTAAATTTAAGCAACTTAATTGCCATTTTGAAAATTTGATGGATTAAAATGTCCAATTCTTACAGTTTCATTGACCAAAATGTTGATTTACTCTCTAGTTTCTTTGCTTTTTGAGAGTATTTTAAGGTGTGAAAGGGTTTGAACCCTCATGCAAGGTTGGGGTTACTCTCCATTCAACTTTGTGCTGTCTTGTTTTCGTTGACTAATTTCTGTTGCCAGTTTCTTTATTTTAATTAACTTTCTCTGATGTTTATTTTGAATTTCTCATTAAATTTTTAATTCTTAACACTTATTAGTTCTTCTTTGTTCAAGACTTCAACAGCAACACAAAATGCATTTACGTGGTGTTTTTTAATTGTTATATCTTTTACCATTTTCTGCTGCCAATTGATGTCTTTCATTTTAAAAATGAAATTTGACAAAGGTGAAAAGCGTGGACATGGACAGATTTGGTAATTAGCAGAAGGGGTATCACCAGAGGCGCCGGTTGAGTTTATGGTAATGATAGAAAGGATGAATGGTAGATCACAATCTGGTTCTGACTGGATAATGGAAATTAAGGGAAAGGTTGAAAATCCTGTGAGAAAGAAAAGGAAAAACAAAAAACCAAAGAAAAGGGAATACAATGGATGGGGATCAACTTCCCTTATTAAGTTTCTCAAATCCATTGGTAGAGATACAAGCAACAAGATAAGTCAAAGTGATGTCACTGAAATTATAAATGATTATGTTATGCAGAATAACCTTTTAAATCCTGCAAAAAAGAAAAGAATTCTGTGTGATGATAGGCTCCAGATGTTGTTTAGAAAGAAGAGCATTGGCCGGTTTATGATTAGTGGCTTGCTCGAGTCACACTTTCTAGAGAACTGTGGACAATCTGATGATGAACTTCTGTTTGACTCAGAAGATGATGAGTATGCATGTGAAATCCCCAAACCAGCGCCTTCGGAGAGGAAGAGTCAACCGAGGAAACATGTTGTGGAAAAACCAAGAAGCTGTTTTGCCGCTATCAATCCTTCCAACATCAAGCTTGTTTATTTAAAGAGGAGTCTAGTTGAGGAACTTTTAAAGGACCTTGAAACTTTTGAGACCAAAGTACTTAGAAGCTTCATAAGAATCAAGTGTGACCCAAATGACTACCTTCAGAAAAACTCACACCAGCTTCTGCAAATAACAGGTAATTTGACTAGTTTTTGTTGATTATGCCATTGCATTCTAACAGTTGGTTCTTTTATTTTATTTCATTTTATTTTATTTTTTATGACTTCTAATTGTACAAGCTGCTTTGGAAGGTATGCTCATCAACTGCATTAGAGTGTGTTAATTCAATTTAGCTTCTTTTTGAAATAAAACACATAAGTTTAAGGCAGTGTTATCAAATAGCGGCGGCATGCCACTATGGCGGATACACATGGCGGTTTTCGGGCTCGCTGCAATGGTAAATATCGGCCGTTATTGCGGGTTTTTCTGCCATGATCCGCTATAACTTGCGGAATTTTGGCTCTCTGCCATGGACTGCCATCCGCCATCGACAACACTGGTTTAATGCTTGTGCTTGCCAAAAGTAGCAACGACAAATAAAGTGTACTTATTATGTAAGCTTATTTACTTCAAAATATAGTGAAATCAAAAAAGTAGACTAGTCGCAATGACTGAAAAAGAATTCAAAAATTTAATCCAGTAACCCCGTGCTGGGTGGATTCACATGAATGAAGCAAACCTAAAGGTTCTTATCATGTAGTCTTTTTTGAAATCATTGGTGTAGGTTATTAGTTCAAATTAAACATGTTTTACCATTCAAAATCAATCTATCAATGACAATGAACAAAGTAGTAGAGTCCAATATCCTCAACTTCTGTGGGTCTGTGGGATCCAAAAGACTGAAGATAACCAATCTGTGCTTGTTTATTCTCTTTTGACGTCAGTATTATATGTCATGTGTTGGGTGTTTATTTGTTCTAATTGAATGATTTATACAACTCACAATGTATAGCAGTGAATTAAATAATCTTTTGAAGTCATTTTTAGTCCTACAAATACAACTAATACTTGTGAGTTTGGTATGTCAATTGACAGTTATGTACGGTAGATATAGAAATTTTAGATCATGAAATTTATTGTCTAATTAGCTGAGATATAGTTATTTCTTGGCTATATTTCAGGTATAAAGAAGAGCTCAGGAGTGGATGGGGAAATTCGCTTGCAAGCTTCTGGTTTCATTAAAGACATCAACATTAATATGCTATCGGATGATAATTTCTCTGAGGTACGGCTGAATTATCTTACTATTTTTAGCTTTATTTAGTAGAAAGTATGGTCTCTGTCATTGAGAATTAGCTCAACTAGTAGCATCACATTGTATTAACTCATAGGTCTTTGGCTTGATTCATGTTAGTGTAAGTTACGTGCCATTGTCAATACCTTGTGTCATGTCCTGCACTTATAATGAGGCAACTTTTCTCCCACTGAATTTTCATGTGCCAAAAGAAGTTATCAGCTCCAGCCTGAAATGTTGAGTTAACTCTGTGTAATCATTTCTTTTAATCAATTTCTAAAAAATTAGTGCTGGATTACTTTATTAACTTTTACATAAGCCCACATCAACTGGAAATTGATTATTTATTTGGTATTTTTGCCTGCTGATTCTCTTCAGTATGGTCATTATTATCCTTCCTAAATAATATATTTTTTTGAATAATGTGAGGTTTAGTCATGGATGTGGTGAGTTATAAAACTTAAAATATTTCACAAATGGAAATATCTATGCAACATAAAGTTATGTACCAAATGCTAATTAAAAAAATGGATGGTGGAGGACCCATGTTAGATTGACCCTTACATTATATCAGTTTTTTTGTGCTTTTAAAATTTTGGGTTTTTTGATATATGATTTTGGTTTCAGGCGGAGTGTGAGGATTTGCATAGAAGAGTAAAAGACGGCTTACTCAAAAGACCGTTGATTGTACGTTTTTATTTTCCAGTACTTTAAGTCTGAATCCTTCTGATTAAACATGTAAATCTATGTCTGGTGCTTTATTGAATCTAAACATTATGACATTATTTTTTATACATGGTAGGTGGATTTGGAGGAAAAGGTTAGAGTGTTGCATGAGGATGTAACTAAACATGTAAGCAATAACCCTTGCATTATGCTATTCCTCGTGTTTAATTTCAGTGAGTTTTACTTTGCTAATTATTGTGTGGATATCATTTCATAAATACTCCTATACTATTCTTATTAATTTGGCTGGATTAGCAATGACACTGTGAATGTGATATAAAAATTAAATGATTGATAAATTATGTTTTGTATAGGTAATTTTTGTTTTGATAAATTAAATAGCTGATGAACTGATGTATTTTTGTTTATCCAAATATAGATAAGGTAAAATCCATGCTGTCATAGTACTCTTACAAAGCACAGTTTTGAATTTAAGTATTTGTCACTCCTTAGATACTTACTATTCATTTTATACATGCTAAGTATTTGTCACTCCTTAGATACTTACTATTCTTGTTTCTGTAAATTAAAACTGTGCTGTACATCCAGTTTCAAATAATAATTTATGTTTATACTTTTGAAATATGAGCCTGATTCTTTGCCTAACGTTTCTGCTTTCTTGATGTGTGGTGAATCTGCGACAGTGGCTTGCAAAAGAACTCACCATATTGCAGAATCTTATTGACCGAGCAAATGAAAAGGGTTGGCGAAGAGAATATCCTTTTCTGATGTTTATCTAATAATAGTATTTTTTCTGTATTATGGTAATGTCTCCATATTGCTATTTTGCTTCAGAATATGTTAGGGCAGTGATAAATCCTAGAGTTCGAGGAACTAGGGGCCTCTAGAAACAATAGAGAGAAAGAGAATTTGGATAAAATCTGCTTGTTTTCATTCATTGCATACATGCCATTATATAGATGGAAATAACAGAATACAAAATAAGGAAGATCTAGAGAATATTTCTTCAATATTTAGGTGAGCCACTAATAAGCTGCCAGCTCATTTCCTCCCAACTGAATTTGTTGATTCTCCTGTGATGAAATCTTCTAGATATTTTGGCATGTGGACTTTTCTCTTGGGCCTTCCCGTTGCAACATCTTGGGCCACTTCCACTATGTTTTCTTCAGCCCATTTGCTATCATTCTCCACCCCATCTGGAAGCACCTTGTCCTCAAGGTGGTATGTTTGTTTGAGATTGTCCCAATCTTCCCAAGAAGTATCATTAGTATGCAGTCCTTCCCATTGCACTAGCACTTCGAGACGCGGTTCAGCAGTTTGAGTTCAGCGGGTGTTGAGTATCACTAGTGGAGTGATGATGGGTTGATTATCCAGTGCTGACTGAGGTAATGTCGCTGCTGGAATTGGGGCAGAAGAGTCTTTGTGAAAAGGTTTCAACATGGAACAGTGAAAAACTGGATGAATTTTGGCTCCTTGTGGCAAGAGAAATTTGTAAGCAACATTTCCCACCTTCTCCAGAATTTGAAATCTCTGGGTCCTATTCTTACTGACTATAATGATCTCTCTATGAAGTTTCTCAAGAATGGTAAGATGATAGAGCTAGGGGTGAAAGGGATGGTGGCCTTCATCTCATTACTGCCCAACAGGTACGACGCCTCATCCACACCAATGGGGCTAGTGCCTTCTTTCACATTCAAATTCTACAACCAGCGCCCCTTTCAATCCAAATCAGTGATCCTAAACACCAAACCCTACTCCACAAATATGACTCCTTATTTCAGCTACCTTCAACCCTTCCACCTACTCGTGAAAATAACCATTCCATACACTTACTACCCCAGGCCCATCCTGTTAATGTTCGTCCCTATCGCTATCCCTATTTTCAGAAACACGAAATTGAGAAACAAGTGGACACTATGTTGGCTAATGGGGTGATACGACCAAGTACAAGTCCCTTTTCGTCGCTGGTTCTCCTTGTTAAGAAGAAAGACGGTTCTTGGCGATTTTGCGTCGATTACCGGGCCTTGAATTCAATCACTATAAAAGACCGTTTTCCAATCCCCACTGTTGATGAATTGTTAGACGAATTGGGCGGGGCTGCGTGGTTCACAAAATTGGATTTGCTACAGGGGTACCACCAGATCCTTATGCGGGAGGAAGATGTTTTTAAGACAGCCTTTCGCACACATCAGGGTCACTATGAGTTCCGGGTTATGCGGTTTGGACTGTGCAACGCTCCATCGACATTTCAAGCTACCATGAACACGATATTCAAGCCATTTCTGTGCAAGTTTATCATTGTGTTCTTTGATGACATTCTGATCTACAACACTAATTATGTGAGGATCACTTGAAGCATATGGATCAAGCATTTCGGGTTTTACAGGAGGGACAATTTTTTCTCAAGCAATCAAAATGCTTGTTCGCTCAACGTCAGATTGAATACCTTGGTCATATTGTTTCTCAACATGGGGTTGAACCAGTTAAGGCAAAGATTCTTGCGATTCAGCAGTGGCCAGTTCTGAGTACTCTCAAAGCTCTGCGTGGTTTCTTGGGCTTGACAGGTTTCTACCGACGATTCATCAAGGGATATGCGACAATTGCAGCTCCATTGACTCAACTCCTAAAAAAGGATCAATTTGGCTGGAATCCTAGTGCGCAATTAGCTTTTGATACCCTCAAAACCGCGGTAAGCACCGCACCAGTTTTGATTCTCCCTTATTTTAGGTTACCATTCATGGTAGAAATGGATGCCTCCGGTGTCGGCATGGGTGCCGTGTTATCTCAACAGAACTAACCAATTGCTTTTTTTAGCAAACCATTTTGTCGCAAGTTGTTAAATGCGTCGACCTATGTTAGAGAACTCTTCGCCATCACAGCAGCAGTGAAGAAATGGCGGCAATATTTGTTGGGTCATTCCTTTGTGATTCTGACAGATCATCGTAGCTTAAAGGAGTTGATGTCACAAGTTGTACAAACACCAGAACAGCAGCTGTACCTGTCACGGCTGATTGGTTATGATTACACGATTCAGTATCGTTCCGGCAAAACGAATGTGGTTGTAGATGCTCTTTCTCGCATACCAGAAAATGAGTCCTCCGAGTTTTACATGTTGACAGTTCCCAGTTTCTCCTTCTTGAAAACATTAAAGCATGAACTCTCCCAACAATATGAATTTCTCTCCAAACTGCAAGACATTAACAATAACAGTGAGGGCGCACAAGATTTCAAAATTGTTCAGGGTCTTATCTATCACAAAGATCGCATTTGGTTGCCGCGCGCCACTTCCTTCATATCGGTTTTGTTGGAGGAATTCCACAAAACACCCACCGGAGGCCATATGGGTATCACCAAGACTTTGGCACGCTTAAGCTCAAACTTCACATGGGCCGGGATGCGTGATGATGTCCATAAGTTTGTTCTCGCTTGTTTGGACTGCCAACACTCTAAATATGAAACGAAGAAAGCTGCTGGATTGCTTTGTCCATTGCCAATTCCTCATGCGCCGTGGGAAGACTTATCTCTTGACTTTATCGTGGGTTTACCTCCGTACCAGGGGAACTCCACAATCCTAGTGGTTGTTGATCGCTTTTCTAAAGGGATTCATCTTGGTATGTTGCAACCTCACTATACTGCTTACAAGGTTGCTTTACTCTTTATGAACATTGTTGGCAAGATCCACGGCATGCCTCGCAACTTGGTTTCAGACCGTGATCCATTATTTGTGAGTCGTTTCTGGCAGGAGCTGTTCAAACTCAGCGACACTAAGTTACGTATGAGTTCGTCCTACCACCCTCAGACTGATGGCCAGACAGAAGTGGCAAATAGGGTCATTGAGCAGTATCTCCGTGTGTTTGTGCACTCAAAACCGGCAACTTGGGGCAAGTTTCTCATGTGGGCTGAGTGGTCTTACAACACGTCTCAACACTCAGGCACAGGAAAATCTCCCTTTGAGATAACTTTTGGGAAAGCACCACCCACCATTCCTCAATATTTGACAGGCACCTCCAATATTGAAGCTGTTGATGAATTGTTGGCTAATCGTGAGACTATGCTTATCACTCTGCGTAGAAAATTGACCTAGGCACAACAAGCTATGAAGAAATTTGCTGATGTACATAGGCGAGATGTACAGTACAACATCGGGGATTGGGTGCTGGTTAAGTTACGACCACATCGACAGACTTCCGTCACTGCCACTCCTTATTCGAAACTCAGCAAACGTTTTTACGGTCCGTTTCAAATTCTGGAGAAGGTGGGAAATGTTGCTTACAAACTTCTCTTGCCACAAGGAGCCAAAATTCATCCGGTTTTTCACTGTTCCATATTGAAACCTTTTCACAAAGACTCTTCTGCCCCAATTCTAGCAGCGACATTACCTCAGTCAGCACTGGATAATCAACCCATCATCACTCCACTAGTGATACTCAACACCCGCTGGACTCAAACTGCTGAACCGCGTCTCAAAGTGCTAGTGCAATGGGAAGGACTGCATACTGATGATACTTCTTGGGAAGATTGGGACAATCTCAAACAAACATACCACCTTGAGGACAAGGTGCTTACAGATGGGGTGGAGAATGATAGCAAATGGGCTGAAGAAAACATAGTGGAAGTGGCCCAAGATGTTGCAACGGGAAGGCCCAAGAGAAAAGTCCACATGCCAAAGTATCTAGAAGATTTCATCCATTGAACACCTAACACAATATCAGCACCACTGAGGGGAAGGACGTGTAGGTCAACAGTGAATGTGTGAGACTAAATGTGAATTTTGACTTGAGGACAAATTTGGTGGCACTCAATTTCATTACCATTACCTACCATGACCTTGAGAGAACAAGTGGATTGGGCCTTCAGCCCAAGGGATTTAACCAGAACAAGTGGATTGGGCCTTCAGCCCAAGGGATTTAACCAGCCTTTCTTGAATAAAGTTGTGGGTACTGACACCATCAACTAGGATAAACGCATTGTGGGTGGAGATGCGGCCCACCAGACGCAGAGTTTCCGGGGCCAAGTGGCCAGAAAGGGCGTGGAAACTTATTTGGGCTTGGTTAAGAGTCGGGTTGCGGTTCAAGTAACAACTCAGATTTAGAAGGAGTCAGAATCGCATTTGCCTCTTGTGATTCGTCTTCTTCTATAATAAGAACAAAAAATTTTGACGCACATTTATGACCTGGACTAAACTTCTCATCACAGTTAAAACACAACCCCTTCTCACGGCGAAGAGACATCTCTGTAGGTGTTAGACGTTTGAAATGTGGTAAGGAAGGTTTGGGATTGTTTGGAAAACGGCCAGGGGACGCAACAGGGGTGGGAAGTATACCTTTGTGGCGAGCAGATCTGCGAGCTTCATGGAGTTTCTCTTCCTGCAACCTAGCCAAAGCAGCCGCTTGGATGAGAGATAGTGGTTGTAGTGCCTGAACCTCTCGGCGGACGTCCGGTGCAAGCCCTGAGACGAAGCAGCTTAAGAGGAAACATGGTGGGAGACCCACGATACGGTTCGCAAGTCTCTCAAACTCCGTTAAGTAGTCGTTGACCGACCCTTTTTGAGTGAGTTTGAACAGTGCGCCCTTGGGATCGTCGTACTGTGACGGAGCAAAACGAGCCTCGAGTGCGTGCAACCCAACTGGTAAGCTGGCCGTTGCGAGACATCCATTGAAACCAGCCGAGAGCCGGTCCTTCCATGTAGAACGATGCAACTGTCAGTCGTTCTGATTCCGGCGTATCGTGATACTCAAAAAATTGGTTGATCTTGAAGATCCAACCCAAGGCATCTGTTCCATTGAAGCGAGGTACGTCGAGCTTCATGCGGTGAGGTTTATTGGAGTTTTGGGGTGAAGTGTAGGACGGAGATCCGCTACCGGGGGAGTGAGATGGTGATTCGAGGGACGAGAGTTTACTGAGAATGTCATCGATTTTGGAAGCAAGAAGTGTTTGTGAGTTGGTTAGAGCGGTTTGATTGGTGGTTAAACGGGAGATAGCATCGTCGATAGCTTTCGATCGAGTGCCGTCTGCCATGGATGGGTTCAATGAAAGCACCAAATTTGTTAGGGCAGTGATAAATCCTAGAGTTCGAGGAACTAGGGGCCTCCAGAAACAATAGAGAGAAAGAGAATTTGGATAAAATCTGCTTGTTTTCATTCATTGCATACATGCCATTATATAGATGAAAATAACAGAATACAAAATAAGGAAGATCTAGAGAATATTTCTGCAATATTTAGGTGAGCCACTAATAAGCTGCCAGCTCATTTTCTCCCAACTGAATTTGTTGATTCTCCTGTGATGAAATCTTCTAGATACTTTGGCATGTGGACTTTTCTCTTGGGCCTTCCCGTTGCAACATCTTGGGCCACTTCCACTATGTTTTCTTCAGCCCATTTGCTATCAGAATATGTAGTGAATTTTGATGCCTGTTAATGCATTATAAAATACTTGTTATACAACTAATTTGTTCTCTACTAGATTTTCCATAAATTGTTAATTCGACTCCTAGCTGCATACTAGATAATAATCATCAGCTTTTTATGGCAGTAATTGCTGCCAATGAGCTGATTAAACTCAAAATTAGGAGGTAAATCTGATTGCTCGTCACGCTGATTACATTACAATAACTTCTAATGCTGCAATCTGATTAATTCGACTCTTTTAAATACACAAGTAACCCCATTCATGAATAAGGTATTAGTCAACTGAAGTAATTAACATTTTGTATTAGGATTCTGATTTTTTGTCACGAGTATTATGACATATGCTTTGTTTGGAAATTGTTTATTGTCAAAAACTTCTATAAGATAGATATTCCTTAATTTATTGGAAGCACATTGGAAGGGTACTTACAAAGAAGGGACAAGCTTAAGAATCCGGAGGAGCGTGAACGATTATTGCGTGAAATTCCTGGAGTTATTGCAGAAGATCTAGAATCAGAATCTACAACACCAGATGTTCCAGTTAAGAAACTCAAAACCAGTTTTCAAGAGTTTTCAGAGACTACCTGTGCAAAAGCATCATTAGCGACTGAGGTCCCAAAGGCAGTTGCAGATGATTCTCCAGATGAGTTTTCAGACGAAGAAAAATGGTTATTCCATGGGATTCCCCAAGTTACTACAGGTTATCAAGACTTTTCAGAATCCAAAACACTAGAAGTTCCAGAACAGAAGGCAGAAAATGATATGCAAGGTTTTCGGGAAGCTACTTGTACAAAAGAGTCTTTAGCGACCGAAGTTTCAAAACCGGTTGCTAATGGTTTTGCATGCAGGGCTACAAATCTGTATCTTGCAGATCAAACAGAACAAGAAAATGAGTCACCAAAGTCGATTCTCAATCTTAGTGGACCATCAGAAGTTCCTCTTTTCAACATGGAAATTAATAGCACTGCATTGAATTGCATTTCTCGTGACACTTCTGCAGGTTTGTTATAATTATCCATTTTTTCCCATGATTCTATATTTTAATATAGACATAAAACATGTCTGTTTGTCTAGGATTCTGTTTAATTGTAGTACTGTAGTATGCTGTTCGCCTGGAAGTGAGCTTAATTTGTCATTCATTGGTGTTCTTTGCATCTTTTGGCAGTAAACCAATGGGCTAGCGTGCCTGTTCAACAGCAACCAGCAAAACCAACAAACTTCGCATATAAGGATGGTGTATCAATGCCGGCCAAATCAAATGGAGTTAAGATTGGAGATAAGATCTCTCAAGCACCAACAGACAATCAGGTACGGCCAGCTAACATTCAAATTATAGAACTGAGCGACGATGACGATGACGAGGAAAATGAAAAACCAAGCACCATAAAACCTATTTATGAAAAACCAAGCACCGGAAAACCAGTTCCTGCACCAGTTCCAGCTGAGGAGTTACAATCCTTGATCTGGCATTACAGAGATCCTCAGGGACGGGTGCAAGGACCTTTCTCCATAGTTGCTCTAAAAGGTTGGAGGGATGCTCACTACTTTACTCCAGACTTCAAGATTTGGAGGGCAGACCAAGGCCAAGACCAAAGTGTACTATTGAGGAATATTCTTCCCAAGTTTTTTCCCTTTGGATAAAATTTCATGAGGCGTCAGTATAACTGGGATGTCAGTTATCAAAGTGATGCTTTGTCATACCAATTTTGATGTATAAAAAATATGTTGCTTTCCTATCCTGGTCAATAACTTGTTTTGAGTTTCCGGCAAATGATGACCGGCTGCTTATATCTGTATCTGGGCTGTCTTAAATTCTATCTGATGTCTTTGATCCATGTTAATAATTTGATTCGTTGGTAAACACCAATTTGCAACTTTTTGTTCTTACTAGGATTTAGGTACTAGGTACTCATGCTTTTGCTTCCTTCTCTTTCTTGTCTCTCTCTTTATATTGTCTTCTATGTAATAAAATGAATTACAAAAAATCACCCAGTTGAATTGAACTATATGTCGTTTTAACATTTGGATTAAATGATTTTTTGCCACCAAAATGCACTAATCAACTCTCTTTTATTTTGCACTATATATATATATATATATATATATATATATATATATATATATATATATATATATATATATATATATATATATATATATATATATATATATATATATATATATATATATATATATATATATATATATATATATATATATATATATATATATATATATATATATATATATATATATATATATATATATATATATATATATATATATATATATATATATATATATATATATATATATATATATATATATATATATATATATATATATATATATATATATATATATATATATATATATATATATATATATATATATATATATATATATATATATATATATATATATATATATATATATATATATATATATATATATATATATATATATATATATATATATATATATATATATATATATATATATATATATATATATATATATATATATATATATATATATATATATATATATATATATATATATATATATATATATATATATATATATATATATATATATATATATATATATATATATATATATATATATATATATATATATATATATATATATATATATATATATATATATATATATATATATATATATATATATATATATATATATATATATATATATATATATATATATATATATATATATATATATATATATATATATATATATATATATATATATATATATATATATATATATATATATATATATATATATATATATATATATATATATATATATATATATATATATATATATATATATATATATATATATATATATATATATATATATATATATATATATATATATATATATATATATATATATATATATAACTTTTAATAGGCTGACGTTATTTAACTTTTATTATATATCATTTAATATGAATATATAATTTTTCTAAAATCAAACCACAAATATAGGGGGAGGATCAGGCCAAGGCTCCCTCAGGAAGGAGTAAATATAAAGCTTGCATTCCAAGCTTGTTCATCACTAAGCATATCACATCACTTGATTGTTTTAGCCCAATCAAGTGGGATATGGTCATGAACTTTGAACATAGCCCGCTTTAAGGATAGATCTCATGTGATTGATCTTTTCCACACCATAATATCATCTTTGGTTTCAAGAGGTATATATGGCTATCCTTTGCGCTACCTCAGCCAGATCAGGAAAATAGACCAACAATTGAGGAGGTTACTGCTACTTGTGTTCTTGAATAAAAGTCAAACATCTTATGATTCTCGTAGAGCCTCTGTTTTAAATTTTTGAACGCTTTGTGTAGGTTAGACATAGTTTACTATTACTCAAATAAATAAAGATTATATTTAATTACGATTTATCTGTGATAATATTATAAGAGACATTTGTTTAACTATAATTTAATTGTAATAAATTATAAATTGTGTGCGATAGTCAATCTTATACGCCCTCAAAGACAGTTCTATTTAGTGTTAAATGTACGTCCAAGGCAAGACTCATAACATCTATCTCTTCGAAAGTTATCTTCAAGTCATCCCTTATTGTTCTGGGCTGGGTCGGGACCTGCCCTTCAGTCGGGCAGGTCCCACCTAATGCTATGCTGATGAGGTCCAACAAGACCCAATTTCCTCCATCGAGCACAAGCCTCAACAAGGCACATACGTCGGACAAAAGACTCTCTTGACGAGGAAATTCATACGCTTTCCCCACGTGTCTCCCACGCGGGGACACGTCATCAGACAACTACCCACTTTCGGAGGAGATTGTCAGTCTACCTTCCGAAGATCACGGGACAGTTGATCCAGGGCGAAGACCACGTGCTGACCTTCATTACGCCACGTAAGCTCTGGCAGTTACTTGTGTTGGGTTTGACAATCCGGCCCAATGTAATGTAACCGTTGATCATGCGCTGGGGGCACAATATAAATATCCTCTTCTACTAGAGGGTCATATATTCTATTCTACACCTTCTCTCTGTACTTACTTTCTCTAGTTCTAGTACTTACTTAAGCATCAAAGTATCTTGGAGGTACATGTAACACCCCCTTCTATACCCCAAAAATCATACAAATAAACACTTATTCACATATATAAAAATTCATCAGAGTATATTTATGACATGGTATAAAAGAGGCGCATTGCATTATCCACGAAACGAAAACATAAACAACACATGCTCATAGAGATATGTAACAAAAGGGGTAAATCTCAACTAAAAACCAAGCATAGCTCTTAAAATCCACATATCAATGTTTTAATTAAAGCGGAAGACTAGAACATTGAATTACTTAAGACATGATATAATAGAAGTACACATCATCAAGTTGTTCATAGTATCATTCATATTTTACAAACACCATCAGCTGATACATATACAATGTATCACAAAAGAATACTCTACAAGCCTAGCTACCCGATGTTACATATCAGAGCAACCGACTCAAAAGAATGAAGCTATACTTCACCAAAAGAAAACCTCCAGCAATCCTAATCTGCAATGCCTCATAGAGCATTATAAAACAGCAGAAGGGTGAGAAATATTATCATAATAATCAATGCATATAATTATATATACATACATAACATAAAACGTACATACATTACATTTCTCACCACAATCCATTTTAACTCATATACATAGTCCACACGCAATCATATTTCATATAATAATGACATTCATGCTATGTGACTCAATACGACTCAATGCAAACTTATGCCATGTGGTACCAACACTTGTTATCTTTTTTTGGTTTACATTAAACCGGGTCCACTCTTCTAGACCGATAACCACCAAAAGCCCGTCCTCTAAGCTTTCAAACCCACTCTTCTAGGCTTGGGACAAGTCACTAGTCTCCACGAAACTAGCAAGCATTGCCTTTTGACTAAATGATGCATATGCAATCAACAATTCAATGCACTTAAGGCCGACATCTTAATCTCATGCATTCAAATAATTCATCTCTTCAAGAATTATCACAACGATTGCACACACAACATATTCATACATATCATCAATATATTAACAAACAATGCACACATATACATAATACGCTCTCATACATTCTTCATACATTTTTAGTTCAATTATAACAATGTATTACGTTTCTCCACGAATCACAATTTCGATCAATTTACAATCTAGGACTCACGCCGTAAGGCTACCCACAGTATAATATATCCCGGCGTAATCGACGCCTCTGACATGGAAATAATCAAAGTTAATTCGGAAATCCGACCTCGGATGAAAACATTAAAGAAAAACACATCCTGTCACGTTCGCTACTCTGCTCGCTTAGCGAGCTCCTAGCAAGTATTCGCTACTCGTTCGCCCAACGAACAAGCTCGCGAAGGCAAACAGAAGCTACTGACTTCGTTCGCTACCTCGCTCGCTCAACGAAGACCTAGCGAACCTTCGCTACCTCCTTCGCTACCAGCGAACACCACAACATGCATTCTGCCCAAGTCTGGGACTGTTCGCTACTGGCTCGCTACTAGCTCGCTTAGCGAACGTTCGCTACCAGCTCGCTCAGCGAACACGCTAGCGAATGTCTGCGAACTCCAAATTTCTTACTGTCCAACTCCCACCAAACTCTCCAAAACCAACCGATTCTCACCGAACAAGTTTCGTAACCTTAGTCTAACATCCTCCCGACTAAATACTACCACTTATTCTCATTTTCCACCGTGAAAACTCAGATTCTACCGATTAATCCATTTATGCCCTAAAATGGAAGTTGTAGAAAAACATCCAATACTCTAACCCAAGCATACATATTCATATACATTGTTAAGATAATGATATTTAACACCCTTACCTTGATTAATCTAAATCTTGAGAGTTGTTCTTGATGATTCCAAGTTCTTCCCTCTTCTTCTTCTCTTTTCTCCTCTTTCTCCTTCTTTCTCTATTCTTTTCTTTATGTTTCTATCTTTTCCTTTTCTTTCCACTCTCCTTTTTAATATGTCTTTCTCTTCTAATTCTCTCCAACATCTATTAATTCATTTAATTAATTACTCATCAATTAAATAATTCTCATTAGCCCATTAATTAATGCAAATAATTAATTAATGAAAAAATCGGGCTGTTACATCTCTCCCCCACTTTAGGAATTTTCGTCCTCGAAAATGTTACCTGATTCGAACAACTCTGGATAAGATTTCCTCATCTGGCTCTCCAGCTCCCACGTTACATTCCCACCAGCCGGTCCTCCCCAAGCGACCTTCACCAAAGCAATCTCTTTGCCTCGAAGTTGCTTCGACTTCCGATCCTCTACCCGCGTAGGTGATGTCTCCACAATCAAGTTATCTCTCACCTGTACATCATCTATTTGGACTACGTGAGACGGATCAGGAATGTATTTCCTCAATTGAGATACATGGAACACATCATGAAGATTAGAAAGAGATGGAGGCAAAGCAACACAATAGGCTACCTCTCCTACCCTCTGCAAAATCTGAAAAGGACCAATGAAACGCGGCGTCAACTTACGCGACTTCAATGCCCTACCAACACCGGTCATAGGAGTGACTCGAAGAAACACATGATCTCCCTCTTGAAA